CCTCACTGAAGCCAGTCAATCTGTTCTCCCTGACTCTTAGGAATCCCCTGCTCTGTGCCAGAACGGGATTGGGGTTACTCAAAACTCAAAAAGCCAAAATGATAAAGAATGCAAAGAATGTGATTGAATATAAAGTAAGAGGATGAGAGTGAAAAGTCCTCAGTAAAAAGGTTAAGTGTTAGCGGGGGAACACTTGAGGGAAAGAAGAATGGCTGAAAGATTTGTTTCAAGTGAATACAAAAGATTCTCCTCATTCTTTAGGAACAAAAGAAGTGGACTATTTCCAAGGAAGACACACAAAGAAAAAGGAAGGAAGAAGGTTTCATTGTTAAAACTTTATGAAAAACATCACTCGACTGCTACAAACTTAACATTACATATTAAAAAAAAAAAAGAAATACATCAATACAGTTATATGAACAGTTCACTCTCAGCACATTTATATACAGTTATTTCGTCAGTCCGACTAAAATTGGACTTTTTTTGAAACTTTTCCATGTTTTACAGCAGAGTCCGACATACTACCGCTAATAAATTGATTCTTCCCCGAGTGCTTGTAAACTGGGACAAGGGCAGTAGTTCAATTAAATGACCTACTGTAGCTTGACTTAAAGGTCACCTATCATGCAAAATGCCCTTTACCACGTTTTTCTAACTTTAATGTGTCCCTAGTCTGTCTACAATTATGAGAAAAGTCCATCCTCTCCATCTTTTGCCTGCTCCACTTTAGAGAAAATGTGTGCTCAAACAGGCTGTTTGGAGATTTTACCTTCATGACATCACAAAGGGCAGTAACCCCTCCCCCCGGGTGGGTGACACTCCCACAGCTAGGTGTTTGTTCTGCCCTCTGAGTCTGCCTTCTGGCTGTAAATAATTGGGCATGGAGCGAGAAAGCACAAGCCACCAAAGCCCTTCCAGAGAGGGGGCGGGGTCAGACACTGCTCATTTACATATTTAAAGGTACAGACACAACCCATTTACATACAATAATCCAACCTGGAGGTAACAAATGCATGAACTAGTTTTCCTGCACTCCATGTGTGTGCACAGAGGACTTCTCTTTAGCATGTACAAAATGTATTTACACCTGTCTCAAATAAAAGCAGGGTCACTATAAACTAATAAAAACCTTGGGCTATGAATCAAAGTTTAAATGTATTTGTCATAAAGCTGGTTGAGCATCACAGTTGTTAAGAGTGAAAAAAACAGAATGACCAGAATGAATGAAACATAGGGACTCGTCAGAAAGTAAAACAGTGCCATCATGTGGACAGTGGGCCTACTTTAACTTTGAACACATGCTACACATACTTCCCTCATGAATAAGGACAGCCATTGAGATTACACCTATGGGTCACGCTGGTGAATCCACAGTGGTTTTTCATCAATGTGCATTGGAAAAAGTTGAAGACAAGAACTCAAAATTTACAAAAACTTCCCTGCATGCATTTCCTCTCTGGTAAACGTGTTTGAATTGTTGGTGTTTATGTTACAGCCGTGCAGATTGACGGTTGAATAAAGCGCACAGTCTGTCCGTGTGAAGGTGCTGTACGGTTCAATGTCATAAGGCTCCTTAGGAAAGACACAGATAAAAATACAGTTACGTTAAATAATTTGCAAAAATTAATTTAAAAAAAAAAGATGTTTTTTTCTTGACTGTACCATGATTTGAAGACTGTTCAGCGGTTGTCTCAGTTTTCTGAAAGGTGAAACAACACATTTGTAATAAATCTTCACGGTGCGTTTTTCAGTCAGCTTTTCAGAACAGAAGTAAATGAACACCATCTATCGTGTGTCACTACCTCATATGAATATATCAAGATCTTAAAATGTATTCGACTGAAAATAACTGATGCTGTTTTTTGTCTATTTCTGTTTAATGTTTTTATTGACTTCTATTTAGGATTTTTGTGGTGGCACCAGGGGGGCCCATGCCACCCCTGGCCACCCATCTGGACACACCCCTGGGGCGGAGAGTCGGGACATTTTACTGTATCCAGGATGTCTAAAGCAGAGTAATAATTATTGATATTAGCTCATGTGCTTTTACACTCTACATCACATTCACAATGCCTCTTATCCAATCAGATTACTTGGTTGGAAATCACTCTTGTCTCACAAGTTAAGCATTGCTTAAACATGTTATTATTGATATAAAAGTAGTCTCTTACCTGCGGCGCATGTGTCTGTAGATAAATCCGATGATTACTGCAGTTATGATCACGACTGCAGTAACACCCATCAAGAAAAACATCACGTCTGACCCTCCCACAGGTAGGTCTTTGTTCTGCCCTTTGAGTCCGCCTTCTCACCATAAACAATAGAGCATGGAGCGAGAAAGCACAAGTCACAGAGAGGGGACGTGGTCACAGCTCATTTACATATTTAAAGGTACAGACACAGAAACAGCCTGTTCTGAGCAGGGCTGATGAAAAGGGGTTTATAAGCATGATCAAATACAGGATCAGAGTGGATTTAGAACAAGAAACATGTTTTTGGGAGCTTTAAGAACAAGCTGGATAATACAGGAGTTTTACAGCTATGATAAAAGAAGGAGCTTGGATTACATTAAGTATGAGGGGAAATTTAAATTACCTTCCACAGTGACATTCAGATGGGTAGTATAAGTTCCACCCCACATGAACACTCACAGGTGTAGCTCCCTTCATCCTCTTGTGTTAAACTGCTCAACTGAAGAAACACCGTCTGAGTCTCTGTCAGAAGTTTGACTCCTGATTCACATTTATTCTCAAAGCCAATTTCATGTCGATAAGACAAACAAGATTCGTTTCTCCTTCTTCTCTTTGTGCTGATCTGACAAATTATCAGTATGATGAAATTCTCTGTGTCGTTGGAGCATAACAGTGTAACATCTGGTTCTGTCCCGATGGTTTTCACCAGAGTCTCTGCAAACATAGAAAATAAATCTGGACTCATAATCTATTAATGCATTTTTTTCTAATAATATATTATGGCGGGATAAACTCTGTAATATTTGAAGTTAGCATATTTACTATAAGCTACAATGATTCCACAGAGCTGTCACACTGGCTCACTGTGTACTGTTTAGAATAAATGTTCCTGTACAGGCTTACCTTCAGCATCTGTTTTACTGTGTTTTCTTCCACAGATCTTCTCAGAAGCTGCTGCAAACACTAGGAGGAAATGATTCTTTGCTTCATGAACACTTATATAATTAATGAAATCTTTACAACAATCACTGACATGACGATACCAAACACAGTCTGAGCTATCTGTTGCTGTATTTTTTTAAATGTTGCAAACAGTTAATCAAAATGTTTATTACACCAGAAAAACAGATAACTGCAGAAAATGTGTCGTTGCCTTCTTTAAACCAAAATCAGGACAACATGAAGAAGTAAAAGGAGCTTGTGTACATTACCTGTCTTTCCAAAAAACACTATTGGTGGCAAAAGCAGAGCGAAGCACAAGGTCCATTTTGCCATCCTGGGCAAAAAAAGCGAACTTCAGCGGGCTGAGCACAACACTACACTGAAGATAAAAACACCTTGTTGCACTGTTTAGTGTTCGGACTCTCGGTAGTGAGAAATCTTCTATAAAGGAAGTCCTGCTTGACACTTCTTCTTTCACATGACAGTAATCTTATTGTAACTTCAACACCTTTCTTGTAGCCTGCAGTTCTCATGCTCCAGTTTCAGCTGCATCCACCAAGAGTCTAATCAATATTAAGAGCTTCCTACAATGGTCTTTCAGTGTGAATCTTAAGTGAGAGGGAGTGTTGTGTCACAGGACCCGCTTAAGCTGAGCTGATCGCTTTTGTGGCCATGACATATATAGAGGACTGTGCTTCAGCAATAAATAGAAAGTTCTGTGGCCTCTGCAGCTCAGAGAAATGATGACGCTCACAAGGAAACCAGTGCGTCATCACCACATCGCACTCTTATAACTCTACACCAGCATGTGTTATAAACAGTCACTCTTTAACATCCTCGACCCTGTAACCACAAGTCTGCTGCAAACCGCTGCAATGTCTTTCTTTGGGGCAATTACATGCAAGCAAGTTAAGCCACCTCTTTTTTTAATTGTCTTAATAAAGTCATGATTAACATACAAACAGTATCTACTCTAGGTCTGCAGGCATTCTTTTCAAAATACATTTTTGCTAGCAGTTTCTAACCGCCACACAGTTTCACAGCGCTCCTTTTTTTAAACCAGTCCCCTCAATTTGAGATTTCAAAGTAAGCATGGCTGTCTGACAATAAAAAACATTTTAATCTCTGCCTGAAGTAGCTCACACTGCCGTCACCTCATTTATATCATCTTGAATCTCTCACAAGGAAACCAATGTGATGTGTTCAAATAGCACTCTAATGACCTGACTACTGCAAGTGTCAAGAATAGCTTAAAACTCAACTCAAGTTATGAAACTACGAGCAGCAACGTATGATTGTAACAAACTGCAGACTCATTTGTTCTTTTTGGCCGGGGTCTCCGGTCACTTTTGGGTTTTTTTTTCGGGGGATTTTATGTTCAATTCTTCTCTGGGTTAAACTTGCAAAATCTGCAGCGTTCTTATCTTTTATTTCGGTCTCCATGTTTGTAGCCTTGATCATATTCTTCCAGCAGGTACCTACTGCGCAGACTCTGGTTTTAAATTCAGAATATGTAAGCGCCCGTCACAGGATATTCTGGCTTCACTGGGTTCAACAGAAGGAGGCTGAGGGACGCCGTCCATTTGCATATAGTCTATAGTTCTAATGATTGGACTGGAGGCATTTCAGGAGTGCTGATATCGACGACATCAGCTTCTAACTATGTGTCTCACTCCGTCTTAGACGTCCTATAAACACGGTGAAAAACATCACAGCACACAGTGGTTGTCTTGATCAATCTGGTACCTTTAAATCACACGTCACCAAAAACAATCATTAACAGAATTTCTTCACAGGATGCCGATAAGTAGAAACATACACAAAATACATAATGCAAAGTAGCAGGTAAAAAAAACAAAATCTGAGGTTGTTTAATATATCTATTTATTGACTGTAATAATGTGGAATAAAAGAAATATGACACGTGAGGTTGTGCTGTTTCACGGAACATCAGCACATCTGTAACCAGTCATTTGGTATCAGATTACAATTGTTACCAGTTTTCGGCTCCCGAACTGACCGACTTGTACTAAATCATAAATCGGGATGTGACACGTTTTCATAAAGGAAGTTCACATGGAGGAAACTGAAGCTGCAGGTTTTTCAGTTTCCTGAAGAAGTCGATGTGTTTGTTAAAGTCTGATAATGCCAACAGATACATCCTCCTTTTACAGCACGTTTTCTTCATTTGATTCAAAGGTTTTCATAGTCTTCCCGTTGCTCGATCTCTGTATCGTCTATTTCTTGATGTGCAGTTGCTGCGTTGTCGCTCTTGGCGTCGTGCGGATGATGCACTGAGGAGATGGTTTGATAGACGTCACTTAGTGGTTGTTGAAGGCTTTCGTAGAGGTTATCTGGTTCACCTCGGTCCTATGGAAACATTAAATATCATATGAAAGTGTTTTAAAAGTCTGACTGAAGTGCACTGTAGGTCAAATCTTAAAATGATCTCCTATCCTTTCACTGTTATCAGACTTTATCGATTATAATCAAGATGACCTTTAATGTCTGGACTGGAGCAAAACCAGGACTTCAAACAATGCACTGAAACTAGTTAGTCATTCCTTCTGCCTGTCACAGATCCCCTCTTACATGAGACTCCAAGTGGAAAACTGCCCTTGATACTTTCTTTGACTTCTGATCATGCCCAAATATAAAGTCAAAGTCAAACAGCCTCCAATGAACTTCAGACTGCCCTGGTCACATGTGTTTTGCCTGCAGGTACTGTTGTCCTGTTTCTGTTTCAGAGCTTTGGCGTCCTCTGGTGGTCAGTTATGGCTGGTTTGCTGGTTTATTGGAGGCGCCGCCCTCTTGCCTTTGATTGCTGACTGGCTCCTAAATTCTAAGAGTTGCACCGAGTGACAAAATTCTAAGCAACATCTTAGATGCATGAAATTTTTTAAGAATTTCCTCTTAAAGTAAAGACTAGATCCTTGTAAAGGTTAAAGTTATTCACAAAGCATTTTCGCCCTTAGTAGAGCTCCTACTGTGTAAAACTGACACATCTATTAGAGATCAGAAAGGCACATTTAATGGAGCATGTATTACTACTATTACATGCTCATGTGCATCTAAATATTCTGAAAACAGAAGAATTGCACAGGAGGATTGTTACGGGTTTGGAGCTGAAAAAAACGTTTCAAAAATGCAGAAAGAAAAAAAGAAAAGATCTTCAAAAGTATAGAGGACAAAAAGTGTGGCTCACCAAAGAGCAGGGTGCTTCCTGCACAGGTAACCCAGACGCTTCTGACCTCGTATTATTTCTATAAACAAGAAAAGGTTTTATTACTTGCTGTGAAAATGTTGAATATGTTGAATACACACAGGATTTGTCAATAATGATGCTACATTCATTTACAAGGCTTAACACACAAAGATGTATAGACAGTTTCACCTGCAGGATTTTCTTAGAGTGCATCCAACCACAATTCCAGTGATGATGATAAATGCAGGAAGGGCAGTCGTCATGACGATGAAAACCCAGCGGAAGGATTGCAGAAGACTGACGTTTGACGGCTCTTCATTTGACGCCAGTCGAGTTAACATAGCAGGGAATAATGTGAGCCAAAGTCATAAAAATCAGATTTTTTTTAGTTGATGTTCGAGTTTAAATTTAGCGCTTACCTTCCACAGTGACATTCAGATAGGTAGTATAAGTTCCATCCCCACATGAACACTCACAGGTGTAGCTCCCTTCATCCTCTGGTGTTAAACTGCTCAACTGAAGAAACACCGTCTGAGTCTCTGTCAGAAGTTTGACTCCTGATTCACATTTATTCTCAAAGCCTTGTTCATGTCGATAAAACAAACAAGATTCGTTTCTCCATCTTCTCTTTGTGCTGATCTGACAAATTATCAGTGTGATGAAATTCTCTGTGTCATTGGAGCATAACGCTGTAACCTCTGGTTCTGTCCCGATGGTTTTCACCAGAGTCTCTGCAAACATAGAAAATAAATCTGGACTCATAATCTATTAATGCATTTTTTCTAATAATATATTATGGCGGGATAAACGCTGTAATATTTGAAGTTAGCATATTTACTATAAGCTACAATGATTCCACAGAGCTGTCACACTGGCTCACTGTGTACTGTTTCGAATAAATGTTCCTGTACAGGCCTACCTTCAGCATCTGTTTCATTGAGTTTTCTTCCACAGCTCTTCTCGGACCCTGCTGCAAACAATATAAGGAAATGATTGTTTCCTTAATGAACACATTTATATTGAATTAAATCTTTACAACAATCACTGACATGACAATACCAAACGCAGTCTGAGTTAGTTGTTGCTGTATTTTTGCAATGTTGCAAAAAGTCAAAGAGTTTTAAAAAGGTGATGTATAAGAAGTCGGTACCTTCAGAGCCGAAACACAAACACAGCGGCAGCAGAAGAAGAAACCAGAGCTCCCAGTGAAACATAATCCCATGAGGTCTGAACAACACTGAACAGTCAGTAATCTGTGTTCGACGCTGAGGAGAGGGAAGACTGATGTGTCCTTTTTTGTTACCTTGACCCAAAATACCTCACGAGTGCATGAGCTGATCTAATGTGTGCTAAAAAGGGACACACGAGACTCGACTTCCTGTGCTATCAAGTGAAGACGCTCTGTGGGAGAATTTTATTATCTTTATTATCTTTTATTTTCGTTTGAATAAACTCTGAGGAGCCAGAAAGAAATATAAACTGATGCCTCTAAATGACCTCAGAAAGAAAAGACTCCTCCTTTAGTTAATTTAAAAAGAGTTAAGGGCGTCGAGGTTTTATGATATCATAAGGATCAATCTGTAACTCTGACTCTTTAAAATTGTTTCTGTAAATTCAAAACACTGAATAGAGCCGTCTCCCTGCCCTCTCCTCCCTCGAGTCGAT